GAAATCTTGATGCGAAGAGAATTGAGGGGGCGGTTGTGATTCCTCACCCCCACCTTCATATTCAGCTGCATCACCCTCTTCCTCATTTCCACCGTCACCAACATATTCATCTCTATCTTCATCAACGTGACCATGTGTATGATCACGGGTGGGAGCATATCTTCGTCGATCAGGCGTATGACGAGGGACGGGAGCGGGCTCATCTTGTGCATTCGGGTAAAGGAAAACACCCTGGTGGAGCATCATTTCATCACCTACATCCATGGCCAACCGCTCAAGCCGTTCTTTAATGTTTTCATCACCCGCCGCCTGGTTGGCGAGCTCATACACATCGTGAAAGTCGTGCTTCTGCATAAAAATGTAACAAGTATAAATAATAGATCGTATGACACAAAATATGTTAATGAATATGGTTTGTATTCAAAAACTTACCATAAGACCCCAATCACGTGCTGTCGGGGTGTATCCTGTCGTCGGCGCAACGTGAGAAGGGTTCCCGACACGTATCATCCCATGCCGCAAGTACCATTTTCGGTACCTATCAGTCGTTGTGAGTATTCTTTGTTGTTCGTAATCCAGCAGGTATACACTATTCCGTCGGTTCGCCCACATTGTCAAGACAGATGTTGATATGGCGGAACAACTAGTGTGATGATCATTACCCTGCTTAGCGTCTTGTGGAATATCTTGCATTATATAGTACTGCCGAAGAAATCGATCAGGGTAATGCCTTTCAGCCATATTGCAAAATATGAGCATCCCCTCGTATGCCCAAAGCTGGATGTCATCAACGCAAATATGTGGGAGTGGGTTGAACGGGTAGGGAAAGAAGTCAAACTGTAAATAGTAAATTTATAAGATTTTACTTTAAATTTAACAAGTATAAAACAATGTGTACAGAAAATTGAATAGTACGGTTGAAGTATAAATTCTGAGTACTACCTGACTCTCACTCATGCGATCAAAAAGGTCCCGGTACAAGAGTACACAGTGTCTTGGGGCATTCTTGTATGACTTGGGGACGATCCACCTACATTTGTTGATTACCAATATGAAGTTAAAAAATGAAACCACGTAAATGTGCAACTCATCGTACTCATTTCTAGCGATTCAGAAAAAATGAGTCCATGTCTTCTCATCGTGAATAGGCCATAGTCTAGACGCAACATATACCGAGTTCTTATATTTTGGTAATTTTCCGTAAATTAATCTAATTTCGGAAAATCCCTCACCTGTAACACGGTTTAGAACAGTCTCGTGTATACTGGTAAAATCATCGTCTTCACTAATGAATAGTACCGCCCTAGGAGGTATGGAGTACTCTATTTCATTATCTTTTTTAAATATAGAGCCATTCCAATAAACCATAACAACAATCTCACTAGACATATTTGTATATGGAGTATTAAGAGAGCAAGAAGTTTTTTTTTGTATTAAAAATTTGAGGATGGGGAATGGGTTTTATAGCATAAATCAACACCAATGTTAGGTAAAAGTTTTGGTTTAAGATGGAACACATATATAAATATTATAGGTGGGACCAAATTTTTGGCTTTTCCTCTGGTTGGAAGTGCCAATTCCGAATGGAGATAAAATGGAATCTAATGGCTTTTTTGGATTTTAATTGATTCAAGTTGGGCTTTTTTGGATTTTAATTGATTCAAGTTGGGCGGATGTATAATTTCAAAAAAAAAAAAAAAAATCTATACCTTGTCGGATTTCCCAATTCCTACAGGAAGCCTTGGCCGGATGTATAATTTCAATATATATATATATATATATATATATATATATATATATATATATATACCTTGTCGGGTTTCCCAATTCCGACAGGAAGCTAATGACTTTTTGGATTTTAATTGATTGAAGTTGGAGTGAAGTTGGCCGGATGTATAATTTCAAAAAAAAATTTGTAACTACTTGTCGGATTTCCCAATTCCTACAGGAAGCCTTGGCTGGATGTATAATTTCAAAAAATACATATATGTATATACCTTGTCGGATTTCCCTATTCCGACAGGAAGCTAATGACTTTTTGGATTTTAATTGATTGAAGTTGGAGTGAAGTTGGCCGGATGTATAATTTCAAAAAAAAAATTTGTAACTACTTGTCAGATTTCTCAATTCCGAAAGGAAGGAAGCTAATGATTTTTTTTTGGATTTTAATTGATTCAAGTTCGCCGGATGTATAATTTTTTTAAAAAAATCTATACCTTGTCGGATTTCCCAATTCGGACAGGAAGCCCTCACCCCAAACAATGCCCTAACCCCTGGTCGGAACACGTAAATCAGACTCCCGCATTTTGGTAACCTAATTCAAATTCCCGTATTTTGGCGTGTCAGACAAAAAAGTCTCGTGTTTTGGTAATTTCCAACGAGCTATGAAGCACGGATACTTCCCTAGGGTAGCGTATCGGCGTATCCGATACGTTCCCGTATCCGATACTCTAGAATACCCGTACCGTACGTTCCCGGGCCGTATCTGCAATTTTTAAAAGTTTCCACTTTTTTTTGTAATTTTTTGAAAGTTTCTGATACTCGTATCCTGACGGATACCCGTATCAACTTTTTTTTAAAAAAAAAAAATCCCAAAATTTACTTAATAAAATTCTAAAAAAAATGAAAATCTAAAACTACATTTTACTTGGTAATCAAATAATGGGCCTATATGGCTATATCCGAATTAAGTCATTAACTCATACTCCGAATTGGGTACTTGCACTTTTAATTTCAAGATTGTAGTTGTTTGACTTATTTCTCATTTTAAATTAATGACTTATTGACTACATTTATATTTTGAGATACACTAGTGTATATGAGAAATATTATGAATTTATTACTAAGTATCTTGAAAAAGGAAAATGTTTCAATGCAATGAATGGGTAGACATCATAGCATATTATATGTGTGTATATATATATATATATATATATAGAGCTCTTCTCATCAGGCCGGCCTGACGGGCTGCCCCGTCCGGCCGAGCCCGTTTGGGCACCTTCCCGGTGGAATTTTTTGATGAAATTTTTTGAGCATGTTCCTCATCAAGTCTAGTTTGTCCATACCAAATTTCATCTCAAAATTCGATCGGGAAGGTCGTCAAATGATTTTTGCAAGTTAACTGGTCCGGAATATGTATTTTCCGGACCAGTTAACTTGCAAAAATCATTTGACGACCTTCCCAATCGAATTTTGAGCTGAAATTTGGTATGGACAAACTAGACTTGATGAGGAACATGCTCAAAAAATTTCATCAAAAAATTCCACCGGGAAGGTGCCCAAACGGGCTCGGCCGGACGGGGCAGCCCGTCAGGCCGGCCTGATGAGATGATTTCTATATATATATATATATATATATATATATATATATATATATATATATATGTGTGTGTGTGTGTGTATATATATATATTCAAAAAAAATCTATTTTTAATATTTATAAATAAACCCCTATAACTTTTAATATTTGTAAACACACCCCCATAACTTTTAATATTAATAAATATTGCCCCGTATCCGTATCCTACTTTTTTTGGTTTTGACGTATCCCCGTACCCGTTTCCGCGTCTCCGCGTTTCCGCGTACCGGTATCGGTGCTACATAGCCAACGAGGCAACGAAGAAATACGTCTCAAATCTTCTCGCTGTCAAAAGTGCGTGAAGTGAGCCGCTCCAAAAGTTTTTGGAATAGTGGAAAACCGAGACCTCATAGGTCTATGACGCGTTGATGCCGATGACAACACTCACTCGTCTTGCCATCTTGCAAGGAGTGATCAAGCCAGAAGGGTTTGCTACTAGCTAGCTTGGTAACCAACCCCCGAGAGACTCTCAGAAACCCGGCCTCTGCCCCCAGAGGGATGACAAGTTTGCTGAGGCAGAAGATCAAGCTGCAGAGACAGAAGCAAGCCTATGAAACTGCTACTAGAAACTCAAAGCAGGGAGATATTTAAAGAAAAGCAATGTTCTAAATTTTAATAAAGGGCCATGCTTCCACAAAGGCAATGTTTTGAAGTTTAAGAAAATGAGAGGCTGCCTATGGAAAGCAGCACAAAGTCAACAAGAAAGAAAAGAAAGAAATTACATGCATTAAGCTTCTCTCTTTAGCTAAAACACTTCACACAACTTTTTATTTGTTACTCCCTCCGTCTCCCTATAATTGTCTCATTTTTTCATCTTTGGATGTCCCCTATTATTGTCTCATACCATATTTGGTAACACTTCACACAACTTTTTCATTCTTACTTTATACCCACTTTATCAACTCATTACCAACCACATAATTCTACTTCTCTTCAAAATCACATTATCACTCCCTTTCGTCCCAACTCTCAATATTAGGGGGACGGAAGTAGTATCATTTATAACCTATTATAACAGCTGTTCTATCACTTCACACAACTCTTAGTAAGGACGGACTAGAAAGTAGAAAATAATTATTCCGAGTTTAAAATAATAATCCCTCAATCCCGTAGGAAGGTTCCCACGGGTAAATGACACGACTTTTTAGGCAAGTGGTTAAGTAAAGTAATTTGAGTAAAAAAGAGAGGAAAGAGAACAATTTACAAAAAGTAAACATATAAAATGAACCCATAATTAAAGGGAGATAAGTTGAGGGAGGAGAAATTGTGAGACTTGACATGTAATGAATAAGAAAGAGAAAATTGAGTAAAAGTAGAATTATTAAAGTGAGTAAATTCTTTCCTAAAACGGAATGTGAACCTTTAAATCTGACACCCAAATAAGAAAAGTGAGAACCTAGGACGGATGGAGGGAGTAGTAAACTAGCAAAAACGAAAAATGAGAAAATTTACACAAGATTCCAAGGAAATTGCTATGTGTATAGATTCGCCCCGAGCATTCAGAATAATAACAATGATTATAATGTACAATCGAGTATATATACAGCAACATTTGAACAAGAACAAGAACAAAACAAAACATAATACTCATAGTAAAATAATTTATTTTTGAAACATTTTTTCATCCTTGATTTACAGCCTTTGGTGTTAGGACTCAACGGCAGGTTGTGGGGTTGTTTGCTTGTTCCGGCGGACTATTCCCTATGGAACACTTTTAATTTACAACCTATTAGGCTATTATTATTAAAGGAGAAATTATGTTCCAGGAAACAAACACATTTCTCAGTTAAATAATTACACAACAATTGGCAATATCAGAGATGAGAGAATCAATACAAAAAACAGAAAACATCCGAAACTCCGTAAGCAAAACCATCGTCATCTTCCCCATCACTAAAGACATTTTCAAACTGATTTATGTGCACATTCTGGAAGTGTTGGATAGAGTCTTTTGCATCAAAGATGAGAACACTCTTTGTAGCCTGAATTGTTTTTGTGTCTACATTTTGTTGATCTACTTCATCCTTGACTTGGTTATGCTTTGACTTTCTTAAAAACGCAGCTTTCCTCTTAGCCTCCCTGCAGAGCAACTGATCAATGTACTTGTCATGCAATGATGTGTTCTTTATCATCTTTAGAACAGGAGGGCTAGGAAGTGGTCATAGTCCTCGCCAAGTTACTTAACCATGCAAAGTTACTTGGGTGATCTAACTTCAGCTCAGGAGTAAGTACTTCAGAGCTGCTGTTAGTTAGAAGATGGAAATATGATGTTTTTGTTGACTCCTCAAGTAAACTGAAGAGCTATGTAGCATGGAAACTCTTGGAAGAGAGTACGTTTCCATTTCGGTAACTCTACGAAAACTCATTGGAAACTCTCCAAACAAGCCTGTTTTGAGCAAAGTTGACGTTTCCCGTTTCCTAATAACTCTCGCGTTTCCGTGCAACATATCTGAAGAGGTCTTTCTATAGTATGCTTATCTACCTTGCACTTCTTATTTAACATCTATCTTAATGCTTATCTTGAAATGTGTCTCTTCAGTTTTGGATCAGCCAGTTGAAGCAATTTGCTTGATAAAGGCATTGATGTTGTCCATTTTACCCTTGAACGTTGGCAGGGTTGGGGTGGGGTCATATGATCTGAATGTATCATGTCAAAGCATTCGTGTGCTTACTTCTCAGTGCTTTTGGAGCAGGATTTTGAAGCAGAAGGCTTAGTGCTTTTGGTGTGTGCCTTAATATAAAAATGAATTGTAAAAATATGAAGATTAAAGATGTTTTTACTTGGACTGTAATTTGCTGGACTAGTCTGATCTGGTCTGAACTGGTCTGGTCTGGTCTGGTAATGTCTGGTTTCTTTGTATTTTTATAACTATCCAAGTTTGGTCTGGTCTGGTCTGGTCTGAACTGGTCTGGTCTGGTCTAGTCTGGTCTGGTCTGGTCTAGTCTGGTCTGGTAATGTCTGCTTTCTTTGTATTTTTATAACTATCCAAGTTTGGTCTGGTCTGGTCTGGTCTGAACTGGTCTGGTCTGGTCTGGTCTGGTCTAAACTGGTCTAGTCTGGTCTAGGACGAATTACAGGTTCACCTCACAATAAAAATTCATCCACCTCCAAATCTTCAATAAGCCCATATTTTTTATGTTCCTTCATATATTTGCATCTTTTTCTCCAAATGTAAACACGAGTTAGAGACAAAAGTTCAAGAGGCTATTCTGTGATACAAATTATTATGAGTTTGAGGGAATAGTAATCCATACGATGGGTCAAAGGAAGACTAACCAAGATGAGTAAAACTAGAGGTACTTTTATCACTTAAAAAGCTAAAGACGGTAATAGTTTTAGAGCCCGTTTGGAGAACTCTGTTTTCGGCTTATCAGGCTTATCAGCCAGCTTTTTCACCAAACACGTAACTTTTACTTTCGCGCGCTGAATTGTGTAATAAGCCGAAAAAGTAAGGTTGAAGTTACTTTTCTGGCTGTATTGGTTGAAGTTACTGTAGAGGACCATTTTAGCTATTTTTACATATAATTTTTTCTTTAATTTATTAATAAAATATATTTTAAAAATATTTTTTTTTAAATCAGCAGAATCAGCCAAAACAGCCACTCCAGCCAGAATATCATAAATTTCAGCAGAATCAGCCAAAACAGCCGATTTTGGTGCTACCAAACGGGCTCTTAGTATTTTGTCATATAAATTTCTCTTTGTTTTATAAGAAAATTTTATCTGAAAGTAATTTTTCGTAATTCACCCGATTTAGCCGTTTCACTCACAATTCAACCAATGTTTGGCTTACCAACAAGTTCATAATTTAACATGATCCATATAAGCAAATTACTATCTTTACAAAAAAAAAAATCCAAAAATGGGGAGTTGCCTACTTGCCTTGGCAGAAAAATATGCTCTTCGCAATGCCAGCTCTTGCTCCTTGGTCCAACACCCTTTATTTCAATAGTAAGATGCCCATCTTCTCCCTTTGCTTTCTTCCTCTTCCCAGCTCTCAGCTCTGTCCTTGTCTCACAAATCAATATATAACTTCATCAGTTTTATCTCTTCCCTCGATTACAACTTCTAAGGAGGGTTTAGCAGTAGACGTCTGAGTTTTTCCAACTTGCTGGTAGAAGACATAACACTTCTACTACTATGCTTGGCTATGTTTGGAAAAAAAATGTCTATGTTGCCTAGTAATGCCAAATTTGGCACAAATTTACTCATATTCAAGAAATAAAAAACATAATACTCTTATTTTAAAATTTTAAAACGATTTTACTCTTATTTGAATAATTCTTCATTACCATTACCACGCGTCTGTATCCGGTATAAATCCGACAGGATCTAAATCCGGTAAATATATCTCGATCCGCCAATACGTAGATGGATAAGAGCACTCACTAATAACCCACTAGCTTAGGTAGCACCAAATATAATGATGGTTTTGGTGCCCCAAACACAAGGATGGGCTGCCTTTGACTTTTGATCTTTAATTGCTGTTCTAGTAACCGTACGGGTTCATGAACAATGCTTTTCTACTCATCTCCCATGTAAAAGATCAAAAATGATGTTTGTATCCACTTTTATACCCACTTTTGTACCCACATATGTTTGTGAAATGTTTTTCTTTTGTCCGTGAACTCCGTTTCATAGACAATATATTGCACAAACAAAATATCGTTCACAGACAAAAAATAACACTTCACAAACATGGTGGGGTATAAGAGTGTGTAAATCAAACATTGTTGATAAAAGATTGGTGTGCCGCGAAATGAGGCGAGATTTGATGAAGGGGAGAAGACGGAAGATGACGTTGTTGCTAAGATCAAGCATGTGGTTTACAAGATACTACGTATTGTTTAGTATCTACCCACATGACTTGATCAAGTTTTGAAGAGGAGTCAAGGTCTTTTTGGGAAGCCACGACATAGCCTCTTTATATACTTGATTTGTGTGCGTGCACTGCACCTAGCAGCACCATTACAGTTTTCGTTTTTTGACTTATTGGCCGCATTTTGTTGCGTATAGGCCGTGATTGACTTAAACTAGACTATTTGCTTCTTCTCACCCTCTCCTTTTCTCACGAAATAGGAGGGGGTGGGGGCTTTTGATTTTTGGCATAAAACAGATCAAATAAAAACCTCCTCTAACCCCTACATTATGTGGGGGGTTAGGAGATCTAGGACATGTAATATATTGTTTTCTTGGGTGTTAATATATATTTACATTTCATCCAAAAAAAGATTGGCTGCCGTGTGAAATACCAAGAAGACAAGTAGTTTTGAAAGGTTAGGCTTCTTTTTTTACTATATTTAAAAAAGGTTAGGCTTTTCAGTTGATAAAAATAGGACTATATTTATATCTGAAAAAAAAGACCTCATTCAAAATAAAGTCGAATATTGCCTCACGAATATAGCCCCGGCTTCTCTGCCGTCTCTAGTTAGTTTTTTGCGTTTCAAATGTGTTTTAACACATACCGTTTTTTTGTATAAAAATGTGTACCATTTTTTGTATAAAAAACACGTTTTAAAGTTAAAACGAAAATATATGTCGGACATTAAAAAAACTCCTACTTTCCTTATAAAACGAGTTTTTCCGTATTTTACACAAAATAGAAACATGAATTGATCAATTGGATAAATTCATTAAATGCATAGGAGATCAACAATAGTTTAAAAGCAAAAGAATAACATTCTCCCCGTGAACCCATGTATTTGTATTGTTACAATACAATTATTAAATATTAAAATTAATTGCATGACTGATAAAGCTAGCATCCAAAAGACTAACACTTAAAATTCTACTCTATCCATGTTAAAATAAGTGTTTCAGTAGACTTTTCACGTAATTTAAGATAATTTATATGTTTATTGTACATTTTTTAAATAAGTATGAGCTTTTTGGTAATGGAGTAGTACTGATTACTTTATTAAAGTGTGCTACGCTTTTGGGGTGAATTTATTTCCAAAAATAAACACAAGACACTTATTTTGATACAAGCAAAAGGAAAAAGGAGATACTTTTGTGATACAGAGAGAGTACTAGATTTCTGGCATTTTTTCAAACAAACATATTTAAAATAAGCGTAACATTCGCATAACTTTTCTGATGTGTCATCTCTCATCTTGATAAAATGATGAGTTTAACTTGAGTGTTATTTGGTGATCATATAAAGATTGATTTGAAGTTAGTCTCATTCTATTGATATTATACCTTATTTGGTTGACATTATTTTACAAAATTACAATGGAAAAATTGACAATAATAATCACACCTTTCAGTGGTCTTCTCATAATAATCTCACCTTTAGATAATCCCAAAATAATCCCACCTTTACACCCTATCTTCTTTCATTGGATCCTGACCAAGTTTTTTAATCTTTGTTTGAAAATCATATAAATAATCTCACCTTTCACTTTTTTTCTATATCTTTATATGTGTGAGATTATTTATATAAGATTTTCAAAGAAGGGTAAAAAACTTGATCAGGGTCCAATGAAAGAAGATAAGGTGCAAAAGTGAGATTATTTTGGGATTATGTAAAGGTGGGATTATTATGAGAAGAACAGTGAAAGGTGAGATTATTCTTGTCAATTTTTCCAATTACAATATAGACTTAATTGTTATTATTATTTGTGTCACCGACTTATGCAATTACGAATTACTGTTTTATATAGTAACATGATTTGCTACTTGAATATGTATATATACTTTTATTTCTTTTTCTGTATATGATATTTTGTGAAGTATATAATTTAAATGTTAAAAATAATACCTTGTATTCTTTGTTCGAACATTTGTAACAGATATTGTATTATGCACAAATACTCCGTACATATTTACATTTTTTAAAGTCAACATTCTTTCAACGAAATTTTGACCATATTTTACATTCATGTTACTGAATAAAACGTTTAAATATTAAACCTCATTTGATTCTTGTACCGTATTTAACTAACTAGGCCCGTCTTCTCTCCCATATGTGGAATAATTGAACAGATTACTCGTAAAGGAGCTCGGACAAATATATTTACATTAAGAGAATAAATGTCAATTACGCAAATACCAATAAATAAGTATATTATTAATTTATTAAACCCCGTCAAGATGTACACGAGATGCAACGCGTTGGTATTCTTTTAAAAAATGAAATAGCTGCCTAGAGAGACTTTAAGGAAAAATATCCGCCAATGGTAGATGAGTGAGAACATATTTCACAATCAAATCACCATGCGCGACACTCTCGAACAAAGTGATAATCAATCTGGATATGTTTGCTCCAAGCATTTTGGACAGGGTTGGCAGTCAAGTAAGAGGCCGAGAAATTATCACAGAACAGCTGAACAAGAATTGTGACCGAAAATCCAAGCTCGGACAGCACCAACTGACGCAACAGGTAGCCGCTTTTGGACATTCACCAGGGGGTGCGGCACCCCTAGACCGAACACTGCATTACTGCAAGTAAATCGGTTTGGTCTACTTTAAATGTTAACCCTTCTCTATTTGTTGTAGAAACTGGTGATTCCATCATCCGAGTAATGTCGGGAGAGGCGGAGAACATGGAGCCGAAGAACGACGACCCCTGCTGCATCGGAGGAGGCAAGACCGGAGGATACAACGACAGACTTGCTGTCTGCCATGTAAACCTCGGCAGCAAAGAATCTAACAAAGAATAAGTACATCTGCACTGGAACGGTGAAATAAGCATCATCAGAAAACGGCACCGGATGGAGAGAGGGACCGTGTTACGGGAGCAGAAGAGGTAGCAGTCGTCGTTGTGGTAGACAACGAACTAGTCACTGGCATCAACATAGTAGGCACAGTTATCGACGTAGTGTCCATGGCAACGACAACAAGATCATTAGTTTAGAGAGAAGGAAAAAATGGGTCTCGTTTTGTGCTTTTCATACCATGTGAAATAATGGAACAAGTTACTCCTAAAGAAGTCATGGCAAATATATTTGTATTATCAAAATAAATGGCAAGTACACAAATAACCCTAAATAAGTACTACGTATATTAGTATCATCTCACTGCCTTCAGTCTCCCATCTCTGTAAAATCCACGCTCACAACTCCACCTTTGTAGCATCCACATACACTATTGTCGCCTGCACACCTCCGGGATCCGGTTCCACCTCTATTGCATCCACGCAGCTGATGCCTCCACAGAAATGCACATGTGCACCATTGGCCTCGTTTCTTTTTTCTCTTCTTGATTCTATTGGTGTTGAAGGTGTCAAAAATCCTTTATATTTGAAGATGGTGATAGGCCACAAGAGTAGCGGAACAACGGTGTTGAGTGGATCTGTCAAAATTTGATGATGATGATGATGATGATGATGATAAAGATCTATGGATAGGGAGGATCAACTAAACCGTTGGAGAGGGGGTGTGGTTTCGGAGCCTGTGACTCTGTGAGGGGGCTAAAGAGGGAGACTGAGGGTTGGGGAGGGGCTTAAGGCTAGGGAGGTGGATTGGGGGCTTGGGAATGGGAAGTGGGGACTGATGGAGGAGAGGGGATGGTCACCACCAGGGCGGTGGCCAAACCCTACCGCAAAGAACCTGCGCCCCTCCACTTTTGTGTGTTCTATCATTTGTTATCAATGGATCTTTCTCTAAATAGGATTTCATGTCTTTTCTTTAAGTGTAACTAAACATTAATTAAAAGTTAATTTACCCGTCTTATAATAATTAATTAATATAAAATAAATTTCCCTCGAGTTACCCTGAGCATAATCAAGGCAATCCAGCAGTGGTGACACTACTCCAAAGGCAGAAGCGGCGAACAACTTTGAATTTGTGGCGGCTGGCGGTCCGAGTGTGGATACTCTCCAACCCCAATAAGGGTATATTTTTTCAATCACAAATAATAATATTTGTTTATAGAATATTAAAAATTAAGTCTTATTTTTGGAAATGAGCATGTTTAGTTTGATCCTATTTAGAGAGCTCTTCCCTAATTCATGCGCTAATGTGCTAATGCCCTAGACAACTATGTAAAAACGAAGTATCGGAAGGGGTAGGGGTGGGCTCGGTCCCGGTCCTTGGATAGGTCAGGGTCAAGAACGTCGGGTTTTTGAATCGGGACTGGAACCGCAAAATAAAGTCATGTGTCGGGACCGAGATTGAATTGTTGGAAAATAATGTCAATTACAATATCTACATCTAAACATTGTACTTAACTTACTAAAAATATACCCCCTCTGTCCCCAAAACAAGTTCTTCATTCCTTTTCAGACATATTAAGGAAATAAATTTACTGAGGGTAAATTTTACTGTTATGACACTGTTTGGCACTGTTTTAATGTAGATTATTTGCCAAATAATAAAATGTATTGAAAGGGGAACTTAATGCAGGGATTATCCAGAAAGAAAAATGGAAACTTGTTTCAGGGATAGAGGGATTATAAATATACGTTCGGTGAGAAATAAGATGTTTTCACTTATTACCGATGTATCCATTTTCCATATTTTTGCATTACAAATGTTCTAATAATAAGGGTAAACGGGAAACCATAAATTATGGTGCAACTGCCAACTGCAACTTTTGTTGGAGATCGATAGTGTGTATAAATTTGGACAAAAAATAATGCAAAGTGGGTGCCTCGATGGTGTAGTTGTCAAAGCTTCAAAGATAATGTGAAAAGGTTGCTATATATTGTACCAGAAAAAACAACAATTCATACGGAAAACGGAAATTGTACTGGAACACACTAGCTAGTGGTGGGCCTTCAGTGCAAACCGAAAAAACAATGAACTCTTTTTCCACATCAAAATTAGGTCACTGTTTGCACTTTGGGGATCTAATCACTGTTTAACAGAACAGCCACTACTCTCATTTCCCTCATCTCATTCTTCCTCCTATTCATACTTCCCACCATTTCCTTTCCCCCATCTCTGGTCAACAAACTCTCATGGAGCTCTCCCCATTCCTTAGCCAATTATGGAAAACCAGAATAAAGAAAAACAAAATTACAATTTTCTTATCAATTTCTGTTGTCGGTTTATTTTTTCTAAAACATGTTTCTACTTAAAAAGTTCCCATAAACTTGTTTGTTTCCTACCTTCCAAATTTCTCTTTATTTTTTGTTCCAAACACGTTTTTACTTATAAACATACGGAGTATTAAAATTAACTTATACGTAGTAAGTTATAATTACATACTACGTATATTTTGGGGGTGTTTGGTAAATGACGTTTCGGTCGAAAAATAGCTGTTTGACTACTTTAACGTTTTCAATAAGTGAAAAAGTCGTTTGGTAAATACCTGTTCGGCACCAGCATTTTTGGACAGAAACACTGAAATGAAAACGCTGCTAATAAGAGAGTTTTCGATTGGCGTTTTGAAAAATGACGTTTTCTACTAATTTTATGGTCAAAAAACTAAATTGCCAAACATTCTCTGATAACCAGCCATTTTTTTTCCGCTAGTCAATTCTGTTGACCCCATCCACTATTAACATTCGCTATCTGCTAACCTTTGAACGCCAAACACGCCCTTTGTATTATACATACACTACAATTTTTTAAGGGCCGACATCACCGGCACCTTCTTATATTCCTATCTTCAAATTCTTCACCACCCACTACAAAAAAAATTACGAGATTGATACAGATTTGACATGAATTTACTGATAATTTCGTGTCAAATAGCTCATGCCAAATTGGTACATCACTGCTAATTTTGGAAAATTCCTACCAAAAATCGTGTCAATCTCGTGTTTTTTTATAGTGACTATTTGACATGGTAATAGTTCATAGTTTTTCAATTTTTCTACCTTGAAAATTTGAGGAAATCATATAAATTTGCTAAGTTGGACTAAGTTTTCGAGAAATATACGGAGTAATTAAGATGATCACAACATCTAAAAATAAGATAGAGGTGAGAGGAGATTAGGAGAATATGCTTTGCTGATAATGTAAAATGTCACAATATTTAATCATAATTTTTTAGGAGGGACGATGAATACACCAACTTGAGTTATCCTACTGGCCCACTCCCCAACTTAATGACGTATCCAATTTTTTGTAATAATTGCCCAAGTTTTATATAGAGGAATGCTCAGGTCCATCCGGAGGGCGGGAGGCTCTGTTCGAACTTTACTATTTGAGGCGGTTCCCGGTGAAATTTTTTGATGAAATTTTTTGAGCATGTTCCTCATCAAGTCTAGTTTATCCATACCAAATTTCAGCTCAAATTCGATCGGGAAAACATTCAAATAAATTCTTGAATTATATGTGCACATTCTGCGCACATATAATGTGCAGTATGTCTTTAAGTATATTTTACTCGTATGTATTATACACATAATATAATATGTATTTATTAATACTTTTAATACTTTTGATATTTTAAGTTTTAGTTGTTGCAATTTAAAAAATTTAAGGACTGACCAATTAACCGTAGATATCTGATTCCATCAAAGGGAGTATGTTTTAGGGATATTTACCTAAATAAGAGTAAATAAATCATCAATTGCTAAAAGGGGAGTAAACTTTAAAATTTCCCTAAATAGGAGTTATTATTTGTAACTGGACAGAAATGCCCCAAAAGAAATGACCCAAAGCATAATGAGCAAAACCAACGGCTGCCAACAGAAGCTCGTACCGCCGCCGGACCGCCGGCCGCCACCACCGCAGAACCAGTCACCACTGCAGATCCGGCCGTTGCCGCCGCAAATCTGTTCGCTGCCGCCGTAGATCCGGCCGCCCCCGACCTCCGGCCGCCGCCCCTACAGATTTGACCGCTGCCACTGCAGATCCGACCTCCGTCGGTGCAGATGCAGCCGCCGCCGCTGCAGATCCGGTCTCCAGTGTTGCAGATCTGAGCTTTTGCCAAAAAATTTATCAAAATGCCATCATGAGTCGAGAATGCCATTTAAATGACATTTTCAAAGGTAAATATGAAATTTTTGAAGAGTGAAAATGCCATTTTTATGGCATTTCGGATTAACATTGGAATTTTTTTAACCACCAAATATGAAATGCAAGAAGAAGGAAGAGAGAGAAGAGAATAATGAGCATCAATCTCACCATCAGATCTGGAATAAAGTCGCCGCTCATCGTTACATTTTTTGCCGGTCATCGCCGCTCATCACCGCCGCTCGCTGTTTCTCGCCACGCATCTTCATCAATCACCAGTCGCCCAACTTATGGCTGGAGATGAAGAAGACTGCTGCGGACAGCTCATTGTGCGGAAGAAATTAAGGGAGAAGCTAAGATATGTGCAGAACAGTTAAAATACGGAGGTCAGAGGGGTAAAAACGTAACATTAATCCTAGCCGGGAATAAAAACTTTACCACTCCTATTTTGGAATTTAATGAATAAATTAGTCCTATTTAGGACAATAAACTCTATGTTTTATTATGCTTAATATCAATGTTACGTGCTATAGAAAACAAGTATGCCAGATTGCCAGGTTGTGGGCGACTCCCAATTCCCATAATTAAACTGTTCCAAAAATACATTAACAAATCTTTGCAGTTGATATCGATTATCGTACACGTTTGTTCATCATTCATGTTGGTGGGCGGCTTTAAAACTTAAACGCGCATTAAAATGACATATGAAACCAAACAATGAAAAAGAATCAATCGCTAATAATGTAGACATAAAACTGTTTTCTTGGACTAGAATGTTTTTTGAATTTTCTAATTAGTATAATAAATATCCGGTCTCTGCGTGTTCTACAATTGCTGAATTCTAGTCTGCTCTGATATGAACTGATATGATCTATAACTGAAATAAGTATAAGTAAAAACATCTCAAGCGGAAGAAAAAGACATTATGGCACACGTTCTTTTTCAAGTAAGATTCTTAGAGTATCTCTAATATTATAATGTGCATGACGCGTACGTGACAATAGACACATAAAAATTAATAAGCAAAATATTTCTTTCCTTATTTAAATGTCGAGTAGAACATCTATATAAAGACATTGTAATTGACATTATTGAGAAAATAATATCAAAAATTTTTATCAAAAACATAGAAGAACGTGAGAAGAAAGAGATCAGAAATGTTACACATTGATTTTTTTGTCTATTTCTACATAAAGACATTGTAGCATTGGTCATTGGAGACCCTTTGATATAAACTACAGTTATAATTTTGTTGATATAAGGAGATTAAACATTTCAGTACCATTAATAGAAAAGTTTACTTCAAAGAGAAGGAATTGACGAGGAAGGAAGAGTAAGAATGATATTCGTATGTGTATACACACTGTACAGGGCTTCCTTCAAATCTAGGCGACTCATGAACAGAGTAAACAACGAAAGCTAATAACAGAGACCTCTCCACCAACAACCATATGCTCATATAGTTTCCTGAATTCCTGATTCTTCAAAACTCCAAACCTAAATATATAACTTTCCGGTCGCATTTCATTAAGTAATTAATAGAAAGGCACTGATTCGACTCCACGGACAAAAGGTTTGTACGGCGGCGGCGGCTCTTGCACTTCCACCACAATCTTCTCCGGATGAAGCGGCTGACGTGGACAAGGCAGAGCTAAGAACTTCGCCACTTGATCTCCGGGCATTACTACCGGCAGAGTCAAGCTCCTGTTTTGCTTTAAATCCTGTTAAAGTACACATTTTTAATTAATTCTATTATTTCCAAGAACTAAAAAACAGGGTATGAAATGGTAGAAATCCTTACCGACTGTGAATCAGTAGTGGGTTTGTGGGGCCCGCCATCACCACCGGCAGCCGGGCCGTCGGAGAATGATCGCCGGAGGGATCGGACCTTGTCCCAGTGGTAGCAGCAGGAAAAGACGCCGCTCAAGCTGAAGATGACGATCAAGAGAAGGGCGGTGCCGAGAGGGAAACCCAATGACGGCCGAGACGCATCCGCATGCGGCGGTGCAGAGTATGGACTCTCCATTACCACTCTTCTTAACACAATGGTTTCTCGCAGTTGTCGGAGATCCTAATGCTTCCCTCATCAGAGGGTCGAATGGTCGATGAATGTTTTTTCTTCTGAGCTGAAAAAATTGAAGCTTTTGAATTGGGAAGTGGGAGACGAGGAGGGTGGGAATTTATAGAGACAATGCTGTGTACGATGGCTAGTTTTGGTCAAATTTGTCTCAAACTTGGTCTATTTTTTATTGCTTCACTCTTATTTGTGAAGAAGAGGAAATTAATTTTTCCTCTTCTTACTGGTTTTTCCAAAATTATTACTGAAATAAAGTTCATTGAAAAAATATGATAAGTTATTTTAACTTTTAAGTACTTCGTATATAACAATATGATCACTTAGGTGTAAAAAACTGACTAAAATTAATCACTAAAATTTACTACTATAGCTACTGATGGATCGTCGATCCTGGGGTAGCCGGAATCCAAGAAGTGAGGGAGAAAACCGGCAAAGATACTAGAATTTAGTCCTATAGCTATCGTGGCGTAGCCGGAATCCGAGAAGTGAGGGAAAAAACTTGGGTGTTCATAAACTTATGGAATATTTTACTCTAATAATCCCACCTTTTATTATTCTTCTCAAAATGGTCCCACTTATTAATAATCTGAAATAAATCCCACTTTTTCATGTCATCTGCTTTATTTGGTCCCAAGCACTTGTTACCGGTTACTTAAGTAAAAGTCAACAAAGCCATTTAAAAAAAAAAATTGACCCTGCTCCTTTCAAAAAACATGGCGGCCTGATGTTGAACATCCAAGAAACATGACCGCTCCAAGAAACATCCAGATTTCCGCGGTGATTTGAAAAATCCTTCCGAAAAATTGACCGCTTAATCCAAGAAAAACCATAAGACGGCGATGGGGGATGATGCTGGAGAACAAGAGTGAGGTCTAAGGAGGATGATAGTAGCTACATAACTAGTAATAACGATACTAGTTCTTCAATCCCTTTTGTATTTACTGATAATATATGTGTGTGTGTGTGAAATCCCTAATTGCTCATTACATAATTTCTTATTTGAAATACAAACTTGAAAAAGAGTAATGAAATAATGGACACTCCAGCCAATTGAAACACTACTTGTTTATCCCGCCCAGTATGTGTTTGATAAAATGCCAAAGACAATTTTAATGTAAAATTTGTAAAAGAAATATGGAGTTATGAAGATACTTTACATAGTAATTGGATCCTAACTATATTTATTGTGCGCAAACTTTAAATCATTGTTTGTCTTTATTAGGTTACTAAGGGAGTAATGGATTGTGTATCATTGACATTCTGGCATGGTGGCCTTTTCAGAAAAGAAAATAATGAAATAGTTTATTTGGATGGGCATAGTAGGACCTTTGACGTAGACCCTGACGAACTTTGTTGGTTTTGGTTGGAGGAATGGGCAAAAGAATGTGGCACTTTCAATGTAATTGATGAATTGTTTTATCTGGTTCCCGGACTTACTTTGGACAAGGGCTTAAGAAGAGTATACAATGATAAAGAGGTTTTAAAAATGACCAGTCTATTGGTGAAGTTTAAGTCCCTAGATTTGTATATTTTACATGGTATTGATAAAGCAGATTTGGTGATGTTGTTACCCTCCATCATAACCATAGAGATCTCTTCACAGCCAGAAAGTACACTCCAAAATGCTCCATTTTTTTATGGTAATGGTGAGGGAGAGCAAGGTTATGGACTGAATGTTGAAAATGTAGTTGAAACTTATGATGATGATGAAGAGCATGATTCTGAAGAGGGTGTTGAAGATTTTGAACAAGAACAAGAAGAACCAAGTAATTACTTCTTTGAGGGTGATGATGATTACGTAACCGGTGATGAAGCTGAAATGAGCGATGATAAATGTAGAACAGCCAAGGAAAGGGTTAAGGACTGCAATACTAAATTGTTTGAACTGGCAAAGCAACTTCAAAAGGAGGCAGCTATAGGTAAGCTTGGTGGTCAAATTAAACAACCTAATTGTAACGCAGAAGCAAGCACCCCAGATGGAGAGGATGCATGTTTTAGTGACTATGAGGGTAGTGAGGAGGAAATCAACACCCCCCCAGATACTTCAGAAGAAGACTTAGCTGAAAATAGCAAGAAAAAAAAAAGAATTTGTGATCTAGTGCCTATGAATACCGATTTCTCTATGTTTCAATGGAAGGCTGGACAGAGGTTTGCCACTCGGGAGGATTTTAAGAAGGCTGTAGCTAAGTTTGCCATCTTGCAAGGTAGAAATCTCAGTTTTGTTGTGAGCAACAAAAAAAGACAACAAAGGTTAGGGGTTAAGTGTGTACCAGGCTGCCCATTTAGGTTGTATTCATCTTGGGATTCTAGGAGAGCAACATTTGTAGTGAAGACAGTTGAAAACAAGCATAAGTGTCATCGAAATATGAAAAAGAACAAATAACTGAAATCAACATGGGTTGTGCAACAGTTTGTTGATGTGTTCAAGGCAAAACCACACTGGCCAGCTAAGGAAATCATTGAGACAGTAAAGAGGGCTTACAAGACAGTAATCAAAAGGAATTTTGCATATAAAGTAAAATATTATGCACATAAGTTACTTCATGGATCGATGGAGGAGCACTATAACAAAGTTGGAAGATATTTGGAGGCTTTGAAGATGTCAAGTCCCGGAACTGAATTGCAGCTGATTACAGACCTAAATAAGAACAATTCACCCCCAATATTTCAAAGGTTGTTCATCTGCTTCGAAGGTCTTCAAACAGGATGGAAGGAAGGGTGTAGGAAGGTGATATGTGTTGATGCTTGTTTTTTAAAAACATTTCTTGGTGGACAATTACTGTGTGCTGTGGGTAGAGATGGTAATGAACAAATGTATCCCATAGCATGGGCGGTTGTTGAAGGAGAGAACAATTTGTCATGGGAGTGGTTTTTCGTCCAACTTCAAAGATGCCTTGCCTTAGGGGATGGTGATGACATAGCCATAATTTCTGATGAGCACCAGGTCAGAAATCATTATTATTTTATGTTTAGCAGTACATTGTATTTGTTTAATGTGTTGTTTTTGTTTTGCAGGCTATTCTAAATGCTGTTTCAAGTGTTCTTCCTCTAGCTGAACATAGACACTGTGCGAGGCACATATTTGCACTATGGCACAAGTCTTTCAAAGGAGATGAAATGAAGCTTTTGTTTTGGAAGATTGCCAAAGCTTACAATATGGCAGATTACAATGACGCCTTCGAAGAATTGGAAAAGGTGAATCTTGAGGCTGCAACTGCTTTCAAAACCTACAACCCGAAGCTCTTTTGTAGGGCATTTGTGAAGACAAGTATAAGAACAGATGCAATAACAAACAACATGGCCGAGACCTTCAATGGCTACATCATAAATGCTAGAACAAAGCATCTAATATATATGCTAGAAGACATACAGACTACATTGATGCAGAGATTGGTGCAAAAAAACAAGCAATGGAGACAGAGGACTCAAAAATCTGCCCAAGAATCCAAACCAAACTTGAATTGGAGAAGGGTAAAGCTGCATATTGTGATGTTCTTCCTTCCAGCTTGCATACATTTCAAGTAAATTTCTACCTAGATAGTCTCACTGTGGACTTGGAAGCAAGAAGTTGTACATGTAGGAAATGGGATATGACTGGCATACCATGTTGTCACGTAATAGCTTGCATATCCTTTCTTCATAAAGAAGCAGAAGACTTTGTTGAAGACTGCTATAAGAGGGAAACTTATTTGAAGGCATATGCAGGTTGTATTCCTCCATGTGAAGGTGAGAGGCATTGGCCTAGGTTAGAGTGTAAGTTGTATCCTCCTCCAATAAAAATAGGTCCTGGAAGACCTAGAAGGAATAGGAGAAAAGACCCTTTTGAAAACCCCAAAACAAATGGAAAACTTACTAGACATGGTATTGAGATGACGTGTAGTGTGTGCCAAATCAAGGGACATAACAAAAGAAGATGCCCTAATAGGGACAAAGCCGTACTTATGGAACCTCAACCCAAGAGATCAAGGGGAAGACCAAAAACAAATTCTCATGCTATGGACTCTACATCAATAGCTGCACCGGTAAACAATCAATCAATCACAGCAGAGCCCAATAGATTGGGTAAAGGAGGCAGAGTTATTAGAGGAGGAAGGGGATCCAGGGGAGGAAGATGTTCAACGGGAAATAGGGCATCTCAAGGACGAGGAAGGGGCAGTAGGGGACACACTTATTAGCATAAATGCATAATGTATTGTTGATGTCAGCTGTTAAACAGTTTATCGGTTCTTATTAAACTTTTGGTTTGTTGACCATAATGTTGATGTTATTTTACCCTTTTGATGATTCTGTCATATTATGGTCAAATGGATTCATGATTATTTGTTGTGATTATGTCCAATGGATACACTTTTGTTATGGTTATGTTGTTCATTTTAATGTGGTGTTTTATATTTGTGTATGTTTGAAGATTGAATGTTCATATTTCCATTTGAGTTATGTCACTAGGTCATTGGGTCACCTGAGGACCTTGTCCGCTTATCCGCAGTGATTCTTGGTGGTGTTTTTTCTAGCAGAGGACCTTGTTCAAGCCTCATGAGTTCAATTTAATATCCGTTTTTGTGCAGGACATACACTCACATATGATGCATTTTCCCTACTAAATAGGGATACATCCATGAAATGGTTCTGCAAAATATGGATGTTTTTTCTTTTATTTTAACAGGTTTGGTACACTCAATATCTGCATTTTAAGTATAATAGGGATACATCCTTACATTTCTTCTGTAAAGTATGGATGTATTTTTACATTTTCTCATAGTTAGGTACACTGAATTTCTTTAGTTTCTAACTGAATCTCAGAAATGTCCTCAACTGTCTCTACCATCACACCTTCTGCCTCAGATGATACTACACTCAAACACCATTCCGAAAATCTGTAAAAATGGTTCTGTTGAGGCTCAAGTTTATTTTGGTTCCTTTGTTTTGATGAGGCTCAAGTTGAAAAGAAGTTTAAATGTGTATCAGTCTGCATTCTTCTTCTTTAAATTGGAGTGTAAAATTTGAATAAGTTCAAATGTGAAGTGCAAATCACCTTCTGCACTTTCTTTTTCAAAAAAATCACCTTCTGCACTTTCTT